TTCCTGCTGTTCGGAATTTCCTCAAGTTAAGCCCAGTGAGACCTCTGCTTTGTTACACATGTCTGCAGCCACAGACTCTAGGGGTGCTTTCCCTGGGCATGGTTGTGCTGACTGTCCCCATGTCGCTGCCCAATTAGGCCTGCTCAGTCGCTGGCCTCAGGAGCAGGATACTCCACCTCCTTGGATGGCCAGAAGGGACTTCCAACAGCCCTGGGCTCCCTGGCTGTGCATCTCCACAGTGGCCTGAAGACCAAATCGGTGGCCAGAGCAGTTCTTCCTGTCAGGGCTGCAGGGAGGAAATTCACAAACACGAGCTGAACCGAGGTGCTGGCTGAGGAAGCGTTCCTCGGCCGGGCCTCTGAAGCATTCCTCGGCCGGGCCTCTGAAGCGGGATCCATGAGGAGGCCACGGGCTCTGAGGTGCTGGCTGAAGAGGTGATGCTTTTCCTCAGCCGGGCCTCTGAAATGAAATCCATGAGGAGACCATGGGCTCTATTTTCAGTCCAACCGGGGCTCATAGGCCAGCCCTGCCACCCGCTAGGGAGACCATAGACAAGTGACTCACCCCAAGTTTCTCTTTCATCATCTGAAAGAAATAGTATCCCACATTTGCTGACCTTTTGTGACAAGTAAATTAGGGATCTGAATGCCATGGTAGGTGCTCAATCCATGTTTGTCTCCTTGCCCATCAGCTGGCACCAAGTGGCACCTACCACAAATGTCCAGGTAACCAGGCAATTAGTGTCCTCTGGCTGCTGTAACAAAGCACCACAAACTCAGCGGCTTGACTTGAAGCAACATGAATGTATTATCTTACAGTTCCGGAGGCCAGAAGATAGAAACAAGTTTCACTGGGCTAAAATCAAGGCCTGCATTCCTCCTGAAAGCTCCGGGGGGGGGGGGAATCTGTCCCCTTGCCTTTTCCAGCTTCTAGAGGTCGCCTGCATTCCTTGGCACATGGCCCCTTCCTCCATCTTCAAAGCCTATCACTCCAACCTCTTACTTCTGTCATCACATCTCTTTCTCTGACTGACCTCCTGCCTACTTTTTATAAGGACCCTGGTAATCATACTAGACCCACCTGGATAATCCAAGATAGCCTCCCCATCTAAAAGTCCCTAATTTAATCTTATCTGCAAAATCCCTTTTAACATGTAAGGTAACATATTCATACATTCTGGGGATTGGGATATGGACACCTTTGGGGACCACTATTCAGCCTACCACACCAGATCCTTTGGAAGTGCGCTAAAATGCAGTAAGCTTGTCAGGTGGAACAGACACCACTCCCTGCCCTCACCTGTGTCACAGAGTGCTCTGCTCTCCCAAGAATCATTCCAAGGAGACTTCACTAAGGAATCCTGAACAGAATCAATCCAACAAAAAACAGAATGATGGGTTCCCAGGACTAGGATTTACTTGTAAAGATATTGAAGAACTGCTGAGGTTCTTCAGATACGACATCTGTGTCAGATGCTGCCCTCTGCCTCAGGGTGAGAGGTGGGAGGTGTGCCTAGCCCGGGTCTGGAGAGGGAGGGAGGAGCTGGACAATTCTGGCCCACAGTCTGG